TGAAGAAACTACATTCTTCATGATAATAGGCTAGCAAAGCTACAGCAGAATTGCAGCTGAGAAAAAAACTTAGTAACACTCAATGCAGATAAAAAATGGAAATAATATGCAATGCATGTAGACTTGGATTTGTTTTATGGATTATCCTTGGGATTCAAAACAGCGCTACATGTCGTACAAACATCACCCTCCAAGTCTAAAGTGCAAGTATCCGGGATTGGCATGTTCTTGAGCACTCTTTACCAGTGCACTACCTGCTTTGCAAAGGAAGTCTGACGCTAAAGTGCAACTTATACACTGAAGGAACTAGTAGTTGTAAGCAAAGATCCACCATCCCTGATGCTCCTGTTAATGTCTGTGTCCATAGCAGTGACACAGCAAAGAGGCAGAGCACAAGGGACATGGGCAGCTGCAGGAACAGCAGCGGCTTTGGGGAGGCAGTAAGAGAATCAGCAGCAGTAGCAGAAAAGGCAGGTGTGTTAGAAGCCACACAATCTAGTTAAAAAAAAATTAAAAAATGCAACATTCATGCAATGCTCCTGTATATATGTCTAATGATTATTTTTTAAGTATATGATTGTGTATTATTTGTTCCCCAGACTCTTCGCCTCGCTCAGGACATGCGGTTCACAGCACACCTTTAATGAGCAGACAGTTGTTATTATATATTTCCCTTTTTGCTCATAGCGTGATGTATTACACTCTATTCCAATTTTAGTCCTCATGCAGAATGATTTTCTTCTGGTGTTTTTGAGAGAGTTATCATAGTATCATCTGAATACTTCACACCCAATAAAAAACAATTATCTCCACTAACAGAACTGAAATTATTTTCATCACACAATGGTGAAGATTGTTGTTATCCCATTTTACCCACCCATGAGACCCCCCCTACTGAGTTTAAATTCTTTGCTTCAAAACATTAAGAACAACAATTTACATGCAAATTGCTGTAAAATTTTAACTGTGACAGTTTCTTTGTAGTATTTCTTGAAAGTCACCAAACTGAGTTTTAGTAGAAGTTTCTGCAGAAATTGAATCCAAGCAAGGCAACTGATGTAAAAAAATCTATCCAGAGTTAAGAAAAGTTAGAAGCAAGTGGAACAGGTTTCCATAAATGAAATTGTAATTACACCATCTCGCTGATCTCCGATAAGTAAATATTATCACCCCTATGTGCTTCATGGAGTTTTTAATCACCTCGCCTTTAACATACCTTTTAACAGAGAATGATTCATTGTTAACGTAGCTTTGAAACGGGCATCCCCTGGGGAGGACTTCGTGAGGCTACAGCCGTAAACCCCGAGCCTGCAACATCTGCTTAGCAACGCTGTGTTTATCTGCTCGCAAGCACCAACAGAGTCACTGCCTTCACTCTGCCGGCTTGCGTCACTGCTTTACTACAGAGTATAAAACTCATTTTAATTACAGATGGATCCTTCCTTCAGTACACCTAGTATTAGGAAAACCATTTGAATCAGATTTTGGCTTTCTCACAAACTTTTCCAAGTTGCGACCGAGCTACTTTGATAGAAGGGGGAGGCTGGGCAGGCAGCTCTCTCTTGCCCACTGCCTTTCTGTGGAAGCCAGTGCCTGAGCACAGCATCAGTGACAGAGTGTCCTAGACATCCATGGGAAAGCAGCAGATGCTAAATACAGACAACATGGCATGGTGACGTATGGCAGTGATATATGATAGCAAAGGAAAAACTTCCTTTCGCTTTGCTCATTTCTTTCACCTTGTGGATGTGCTTTGCTCTCTGAAGTCAGAATGATGTCTGTTGTTTGCATTGGGTCTTGTAAAACAGATGAAAAATATGTACAAATGGAAAATGAAACCATAGTAAAGAGAAAATCAGAAAAGTTCAGATATTCCTACAGAAAGCGCTTGTGACTTTTGTGACAGAAAATCACTTAGTACTTTCCATTTTCAATCTGCTTGCATGGTGGCCACAGAGCCACGCGTGAGTCCTATGTACTGGTGCGAAGGAAACCACCATGGTAACAGCACCACCACGCTGCCTTTATAGCTTTATACACATAACCGCACCGGATATTTTGTCTGTCAATTCCTGGTGCTAATGTTCAAAAGGAGCGCGGCAGCAGAGTCCTTCTAACCTGCACAGCCAGCAGCTGGTGGTGCTGGCGTTTCCCTCAGCAGCCCTCGATGCTCTGCTACCTTGTCGCTTCCCACGACTTCATGGCTCATCCAAGGGGAAGCAGCTCCCAGGATGCTGATGTGGTGCCCAAGCTAAGGGGGAGCGGGTCTTCTGTGAGTGCGAGCTGCCCTGGGTGACTCAGCCATGGCAACTCTGGCCTCAACAGACGCCTCCCCCTGCAGTGGCGCCCTGCGCGCTGCTGCCTGTTGGCAGTTGGCGGGGGGCCGTTGGCCATTGCCGTTTGGCCGTTGGTTGTGGGCAGCTGGCCATTGGCAGTTGGCTGTGGACAGTTGGCTGTTACAATGGTAGTGCTGCCCTGTGCCAGGACGAGGGCCTGGTGGGCAGCGCCATGTCATGGGCTTGCACTAAGTGACCTGCTTTGTGGCCAGCTCCGCTCCTCGTCCCGCGGGGAGCCATGTGGCCGCCTTGCAGTGTTAGCAAGATTCCCTGGTCGATCCCTGGCCACCACAGAAAGGCTGTGGGGAGGCTGTGGCTCTTCCCTGAGGCAGTGTCACATAGCAGCACCACATAAGGTGTGCAGCAGGTTTGCCGTGAAACAGCGGCTTTTTCAAATCTCTCAGGAGAGTTTAGAAAAGAAGACTGAGCCTACGTTTCTACTGAGGAGTTCACTCTGGGTTGTATAATCTCTGTTTAGATTGGTGCCAGAAAGCATCTACAGCAGTTTAGCTGGATATTGAAAGGGAGTGTTTCAGATTTGATCACACTGTTAATACATTTTTTCCCTTTCATTGTTGTTACCTAAATCTTTCATAAAACTGCTGCTTATTTGGGATGTTACTTCTTGTAAGTGTCTGTGCTTTAGCTTGGGTGAAGGTAAAGCTGATTTTAGGGTCATAGGGTTACTAGGAAAGACATCCCCTACCCAACAGCATGGCAGATATGCAGCTGATGACATCCTGGCAGTCAGGCAGCTCTTCTAAAGAGCTAGATCTCAGCAACAATGAGCTGTTTGTGGTAGTTTTAGAAATGCAAATGGCAGGAGGAACATATGATAGAAAACAACATTATCCCTGAGGCAGATTGGAAAGATCACATGTAGCCTAGGTATGATGGAGAAATAGCTGGATTTCAAAACTGCCTGTTGCATTAGGTGCTATTTACTGCACAGAAGGGCAATCTGCACAAAGCATGTGTTAAAAGCATCAAACCCACTCTTCCAATGCAGCCTAAGCACTGCAGAAATCCCTAGGGTCAAGTTGGGTGAGTCCCTGTACATGAAATCAATTGGTTCAAATAGAATAAGCCGTTTCTCTTTCCTTGCTTGGCCTTGCTCAGTCGTGGTTAAATGAGCGGAGCAGACAAGTATCATCCGGTAATGCTGCTGTTGTTGACTGGCAGTGAAATGAGAGGGAGGTCTTCTAATCAATGCCAGCTACAGGGATGCCTGCAACAATGGGGAAAAGTAGTAAAACAAAAGCTAAAAAAGGTACATTAGAAAGGTAGTTCCACTGCAAAGTGCCATCGGGAGAGGAACTGGAATAGTCAGTCCATGCCATCTCACTGATGTTCCTCTCTCAGGCTGTCAAATTAACCACCAGGATAAACAGATTTTTTTCTCAGTTGCATAGATTTTATTGGAAAGTATTGCATCATCAAAACTGAAACACTTCATTAGAAAAAAGCTGAAAATGATACAAATCTCAGTAATAAAATACATTAGGATATAATTTCTGGCTCAGATCAAAAAGTTAACTAGGTGAACTTAAACCAGAGCTTTTGATGCGATATGGGAGCCTTGGACAGCAAAGCTAGTGGCTCAGGCTGCTGTCCCGTATCCACAAGAGGCTCCACAGTGAAACTGCCAGCTGTTCTGGGATCTCCTGCTCCTGGACTTCATGGATTTTGTGCCATGCCACAACTAAGCCAGATTTAAAACTGTAAACCAGAAATCTTATCCATACCACTTAATAAAAGACTACTAATAAAGGCAGTGCACTCAATTACTCTCCCAGGCCTATCTCCCTTACCAAAGTTTTCCCATTTGTGCTAATAGGTATTTTGTCCCATCAGACCCTAAGCCGTATATCAGGAAAAAACAGAGCTCCAGGCCAAAAATGCTCTTTTCAAGCCACACATTGTTACTGTATGATACTGATTATCTATGACCTTGGTGTTTATTTCTTTGACTACATTTTAAAGCATTGATTAATCTTGACATTAGATATGATTAGATACGATTGAACATCCATTTGTAAATGGAATGTGCTACTTATTTTTCAAAGTAGCCAAACATTTGGCTTTGTTACAGATTTATGCCTAACACCAGAAAAGAAATGCTGAAAAATAGTTAGCCAAGTCACCAGTTGGCCAGTCTTTGGTAAGAATACTACAGCAATTGGTAAGAATGCTACAACATTTGACACTTCCTAACTTTCTGCAGGTGCTTGACTCCATTCAAAGTATTTCAA